GGAGATTGCCTTGGATTTAATTTTTGAATTGTGGACATTGAATATTCTAAAATATTTATTACTATTGTTTCTATATTCTAATCTCTGATCTCAAATATTCTCGATATAACATTCTCTGTGTTCTAGGCGATTCACTTTAATGCCATTCCTCTGTGGAAAAAGTATTCTGGCGAAAATTCAACAAGTTGTTTAAACCTGATGTCCGAATAACATTGCAGATTATTTCTATAAACATAAAATTTCCTGTTGGGAAAATGACATTATTTACAATTCAAGTATTTTATTAAAAAGGAAGAGGATGTATAGTGTTCGTACCACTAGCGCGCATAAATGTGTTCAGGGAATATTTTGTTTTCCTTGTGCCTGAGGAATTCATTCCTGGTGTTGTCGATGTGTTTCTCATGACCAGCCAATTTTCCTGTAATTTGAAGGCATCTTAAATTTCTCTCTTCTGAGATCGGAGTCCAGTTGCCTCTGTGTTCGTTTAAAGGAATAATATAGCTTCGTTGCGTGACCTCGCAACAGAACCATCTCGAATCGTAGCACGCGGCGCCGATAACGTATCTCCGATGAACATGCCTCTGTCTTTCAGAATTCTTGTCTCGCGCGGTTGCTACTGCTAACGGCTTATCGAAGTTCTGCTCTCTCGTATCAATTGCTTGCTTTGTCTCTTCCGTGTTGGGCCTGAAAATTCAAAATCATCTATTTTCATTGTATGTAACACGCGATTTATTCGTGAGTGTTTAATAGATTCATGAAATGTTCTCGTAGAATTTCCCACGCTAATAAGTCAGGCATGCATAATTAGAACAAGGTCGTATTTTGTTTTCCGCCGATTTAAGCTGTAGCCATGAAATTTGGTAGAATATTCATATAATACTGCTGTGACTTCAAAAACTCCTTGAACCGTGAATATGCATTTTACATAAAGATCACCAGTTTATTAATTTGATCGATCCTTGATGTGTAGTATTGCAAATGGGTACTTGGGGTACTATCATTGGGAAGCTTTCAGAGTTCTTCAGCAATGCGAATACATTTAACATCAATTCTTTTTAGACAACGTAGCATTTTTATCTGTTTATTAATGAACAATCAGTGTAATACGCTACAATCTGATTATTTCAAAAATAAATGATAAAAATGTTCTTAAACAATGTTTGAAGCATAATGTATCCATATGGTCAAGTATCTCCTTGCGTCATGTGCTGTGGGGCGAGTCGAGCTGACGAAGCTGAGGAGCGGACCGGCTCGTCCGGTTGCTGACGAGGCGCCGATCCGGGGTCCGGCGCACACGACGCCCTGGCTGGCTCCCAAGGGGGCGGGCTCGGGCGGCGACGGGCATCTTCAATCCGTAGGGTTCCGAACGTCCTAACCGCTCCCGGTCGTCACCGCTATGTCCAGAGAGCCGGGAACAAGGCAAGGTACCTGGTGACAGTGGGTCGCTTGGGCGTGCTAACAGGGATGGCGACTGCTAATGCCAAGGGCAGAAACGCCACCTTACCTCGGATATTTTTACTCTTCAGTTTGATACTTGTCCCTGCACTTGTAGTAAAATCAAGTTTTTATACTTTTGTAGTGTTGCGTGTATTGAAGATCCAACTTTGTAGGCATACTATTCGATTAGCACCATGAAAGCCACCAAAAGTCTCCCGACACGCCCTAGCTTAGGTCGCGAATGTATCAAAAACGTATTATCTTAGTGTGCAGAATTAATCTTTTCTCTTTATTGTATACTAATTATCTAACAAGTTTCGCTCGTCTTCTACGAACGCGAGTGCGTTTAGAATGCTAGCTAATCGCAGTTCATATTTACAGTTCACAGAATCATGTCGCGAGCGTTAGTGCTATCCTCGGTGCTTGCATCACGCGGCGGCGGTGCGGTGTCATTACGGCGACTGTGATTCTCGGAGGTGCAGGCGGTACGTGCTGCTTGCACATACGTCACGCGTCGCGCGGGTCCGAAGGCGGAGGCGCGCCGCCGCCGCCGTCGTCCCGTTCTACTGACGCGGAGTGGCGGTGCACGCGTCGGAAGCGCGTGCTCGGCGCGCCGGCGGGGTACGCGTTTCCTTCGTCGTTCCTGCGGCGTAACGCGCGCGCTCGCGCAGATTACGCGTGTCGCGGCGGCGGGAACGCGGTCTCGTTCCGCCGCGGCGTGCGTCACGCTCGTGCGTTCCGCGCCCTCTCCCTTCCTGCCGCGCCACGCAGGCCGCATCCGGGGCGCCACAATCCGCCGCCACCGCCACCGCTTCCTTCCAGCGAAGTTGAGGACCTACCCCCCTCCCATCCCTCGCCGCCTATCCGCTCCCCCGCGTGGTCGTGGCCGGTATCTACGTCGCGCAGACGACTAAAATGCACTCCCCCCCCCCCCCCCACCAAAAGTCCAAGCACAAGGTCGAACGAAAGCACAGAAACAGGATTAGGTGGAGTATGTAAATATCGGCGGAGTGGGGCCGCTCGCCTTTCAAGAACTGTTTCGGATGGCAGCGACGCCAACCCCGGCAAAGACTGGCTGCGGGGCGGGGCGGGGCGGGGTCGAGACGTCCGTGCGCCCAGAGCCTGTGCGCCCACCTGCCGGCCCGTGGCGCGAGCCCAGCTGCTGCCGCCGAACCCCAGTCGTGCCTTGCCCGCGGCCGACGGTCTGGCCCGCCGTTGCGCGGTTTCAGGTTTACTGATACGACGCTGGAACTGTACCAGCCCGGTATCTATATTGGTAGGATATTGCACCTACGATACGACACGTGGTTGTTGCCGTAGATAGCCGACTTAACAAATACGATGGCCTTAGTACGACTTAAATAGGGCAATTACAATAAATGTGCGATGCTAAAAAACGAAAAACGATGGAATAATTTCTCACATCCATCCTCCAAATATTCAAAAACTTTTTGCCACCGTTTATCTTGAATTATTTTTTATTTCATTTGTTTGTGTTATTTACATTGGTTTCATCCCAAGGATGGCAGGACTTGGATTCCATCACTATTAGGATATCGTAGATTTGTAATCAGCCGTTTTAGTTTCAATAAAAAAATCTCCATTCACAAAAAATAGTAAAAAATATTATAAATCGTCCACGACACAAGTGGAGCGACTGCAACTGTGTACTAAATTTCGGTGAGCGTGAAAGCATGCTCGTTCACATTCATTAACAGGATTAGGCGTTCACTGGCATCATTGGCGCTGTGTCGGTGAATGTGAAAACGGCCGTTCGCGGCGTTTCTGGGAAATTCGCTGTGTGAGCGCTGTGAGTCGCGCGCCCGCGCTCTTCCTGCGGGGAAACCGCCGACGCTGGGAGGCGGAGGCGATTTCGCGAGTCACCGCGGAAATGAAATAGAGCGTGTCGCGAGGCAACGCAGGGAATTTCGGGTTCCGCGACAAAAAAAGAAAGAAAAAAAAAAGAAAACGAAAACGGGGAAGTGGGGGGGGAGCAGGGGGGAGGGAGGTGTGCGTTGGTGTAGAACAGGTTTCGGTCGCGCACGTCTCGCAATCCCAGGGTGCTCGACCGACAGAGAATATCCACCGATCAATCTGTCTAGTAGTGGAATAAAAACGAAGTAAATTACAATGAGGTGCCCTTGAGCAACGCTTGAATGCGTTATTTTTTTTAAATACACAAGAAGGTCATAAGGTTGCAGCAACGTTTATTGCGTAATTAACTGCTTAATGTTCGTGTCCAGCACGTTTGCGTGCAGGAATTACGCACGATTACGATGTTTTATAAAAAAAAATAGTTAACGTCCACTTGATAATACTGCGCGATTTATTATTACGGAGGACAGTAGAAATGAGTAGTTGCTTGAACGCAGTGCCTTGCATCGGGGAAGCAATGGGAGCAGGTGGTCGCCCCCTCGTTCGAGAGACGTAGGCGCCAGAAATAGCCGCTGCACTCTCCTCTCTCGCTGCGTGGCGGCCTGTCGCTCGTTCGCTCGCTCGCGCGCGCGTGCGTACTGGCTTCTTCGCAGCGGCTGCGTCCTCGATGACCTTGCAGCGCCCGCGCTCGCTTTCCGCTGCTGTACTGTGCTGTGCTGCGCTGCGTGTGCGCTGGGGCGCGCGCTCTCATTGTGGCAAAACAACCGCTACGTTGATTTACCGCTTTCCTTTGCGAGCGCGCACCGTGGCGCCGCCCCCTTCCCCCAACCCTCGCTCCGCCACCCGCCCCCGGCGCTGACGTGCACTACGATGGAAGGCCCCCCCGCCCCGCCTCTTTCTCTCCTGCTTGCGTTTGCGGCCCGCCGAACGCGGAGGCCCTGTACCCAGCCGCGGAAGGGCTCCTTCCGGGAACACACGCTGAGATTACAGGCTCGCCAACGCCACAGCTAATTTCGTTTCAAAATGGCGAGAGACCGTCGCCGTTCTCGCTTGTCGGCTCCTTCGCCTCTCGCTCAGCTCTGCGTTGTCTCTGGCTCTCGACGATTCCTTCGCGCCCCTTCACCTCCCCGTTCTTCTGCCTCGTAGTAGTTCGCGCCCTTTTCGTATTCGTTGGAGTAATGTCCTTATTTTTTTATTTCGCTGGTTGCTGGAAACGATTTTTTTCTCGGAAAAGGGGCCGTGCACTCCGCGTGCGTTTTACGTATTCATGCGCGATTGCCATTCACCTGGCGGAGCCTTGCGCCCGAGCGTGGCCTTCGCCGCCTTCGTTAAGAAGCACGAGTGCGGAATAATGGATTGCGCGCGCGCCGCTGCCGCTGCGGAGGGGGCGGGGCGGCGTGATAGCTTGCGCAACGCCCGCCTCCGTGCCGCCGGCGCGGCGCTGGCGGCGGGGAGGAGAAAGCTGCAGCAGCGGTCGCCATCCGCGGCGTTGGAAGTGGCGGGGGAGGGGAGGCGCCGGCGCCGAGTCTTCGCGCGCGCGTTCGCCCTGGATTCGGACGTTCTCACGTGCCGCCTCGTCGCGTCTCACTTCGCCTGGCTCAGGGGAGGGCGGGGGAGGGGGGTAGGCGCGGAAACCAGGCCGGGCAGGCGGCGACCCCGCGGGCGCGCCATTCCGGTTGTACAGGTTGATGCATCGCGACTCGAGCGCGGGTCGGGCGGCGCCGATTGCTTCATTGCGCCGAGGTGATGCGGGAATTGGCTGGGAAACGACTGCGAGTTTTCGGGCGCTACTATCTCGTGGTAAATGGGTTTCCTTGCTGCGTGATTTTTAGGTGGCTTTAGGCTGAAGCTCAGGGGCCTACATTATTCGTGATAATAATCGCGAGGAGAATGTGTACGGAGAGTATACTTCCGTTCCCGGAATGTATATTCCTATTATATTGGCGTGGAATACTTTCGTAAAGTTCCCAAGGGCATTGATTTCGAAGAACGTGCCGTCTAGAAATACATTGAGGCGGTCTTTCTTTTTTTTTTCGCGAATTGGCTTTTACTCTCTGCGAACAAAAGCAGGCTGTGTGTGAACCGCAGCTTTGGGCGCCTTCCAAGCACGTTTACCGCTGGCGCGTGAATTGGGGCCTGTGCGGAGAGGCGTGGGCTGCGAGGAGGCGGATGCGTGGGCGGCGGCGCGACGCTTAATAGCGCAGGGGCGTCGCGACGCTGGGGGCCGCCCACGGTGCACCGCCCGCCCCGCCCCTCTCCCTCGCCCCCACTCCTCAGACCCCGCACAGAGGAAGCCGCCGGAAACTGAGCTGATTAACACCCTCCACCTCCATCTCTCTCCCTCCCCCTCCTCTCTACTTTCACCGTCCGTCCGCCCGAACGCAGGATGCAATGGGACCTGCCAGGTGGCAACTCCAGCGGACCTTCCATGACGGGCGCTATGCTTCTACGCCCCTTCCCCCTCCACCCGATAGTCCTCCCACCAAGGCATCCGCGCGTGCTATCTCCCTACCCCCCCCCGTCCTTCTCCTCCCGCGACGCATCACACCACGGATCGTCCATGTTTTCCACGCGCGTTGATAGTGATCGCTTTTATTTTCTTCCTTCTCGTCTCGTGCATGGCTATCATGCTTCCTTCGGCTGAGGTGGGCTAGGCGGCGCGTCAGTCTTTGACCTCTTCGCCGAACCGAGTGCATTGATGCCTCCGGCAACAAGCATGCGTTTAGAAACGGAACTGTTTGCTTTTCTGTGTATTTGAAAACAAGGAGTTGAAAATGAACGAACCGT